AATAGGCAAGCAGGCCATGCTGGATGCTGCCTGTAGGCCACTCTTGCCTACTCCTGGGTTGCCCAGAGGATGGCCAAGCAGACCCAGCTGTCTGCTGTCAAGCTGCACAGCAGCCCTTGCCTCCCAGGGAGGTATTGGTCCCGGAGGCTGTGGGCTTGGCGCCCATTCCCGGGACCTAGGCCACTTGGCACCACCCTGCCCCTGTCCACTTGGCACCTGCATATGCAAATTAACCCGCCATCTTATTGGGTTAATTTGTATACTTACTTCTGATTGGCTGGTGGGAGTCACAGAGGTACAGTCAATTTGCATCTTTCTCTTTTATTAGTGTAGATACATAGATAGGTAGATGATAGATGATAGAGATAGATAGATAGATAGATAGATAAATAGATAGATAGATAGACAGACAGATTATGGTTGATAGTATTGCAAATGTCTCCCATTCTCCGCCCCATTTTATCACTCTCATCCCAGCCCCTACCCAAGCCTAGGTCTTCACCACCTATTGCTTGCATCCATAGGCTTTGCATATAAGTATATAAGTTATATGGTTTATCTCTTCTCATCCCCCCAACCTCACACCTAAGAATGTCAGTCTATTCAATGCCTCCATGCTTTGGGTCTTATTTTGTTGCTTGATTCATTTTGTTCATTAGATTCTACAAGTGAGTGATATCATGTGATATTTGTATTTCTCAGATTAGCTTATTATACTTAACATAATAGTTTTCAGGTCCATCCATGCTGTTCCAAAGAGATCCCTCTTTTAAATAGCTGCATAGTATTCCATTGTGTAAATGTCCCACAACTTTTTATTCACTCATCTACAGATGGGCATGTGGGCTGATTCCAAATCTTAGCTATTGTAAGCAACACTGCTATGAACATAGGGTGCATATAATCTTTGTAATTGGCATTTTGTTTTTTTTTTTTAGGCTATATTCCCAGGAGTGGGATCACTGTGTCAAATGGAAGTTCCATTTTTAAATTTTTGAGGAAACTCCATACTATTTTCCATTCTGGCTGCACAAGCCTGCATTTCCACAGGCATGTTCCCTTTTCTCTTCATAATCGCCAGCTCTTGTTGCTTGTTGATTTTTTTAAGATAGTCATTCTGACAGGTGTGACATCTAGTTGAGATTTTAATTTACATTTTTCTAATGATTACTGACTTTGAGCATTTTTTCATATGTTTCCTTGCATTTGTCTATCCTTTTTGGAAAATTGTCTATTCAGATCCTCTGTCCTTTTTTAAATTGGATTGTTTGTCTTCCTTTTGTTTGTGTATCATTGACAAATATGTTCTACCATACACTGGGTTCCCTTTTCAATTTGATGTTGTATGGTGTGTGTGTGTGTGCGCGCACGTGTGTGTGTGTTTCTGTGCAGAAGCTTTTAATTTTGATGTAGGTCCATTTGTTTATTTTTTCTTTTGTTTCTTTAGCCTTACATGTATTGTTAAAATTTCTGCTTCATGAGATGACTGATATTTTACTGCTTATGTTTTCTTCTAAGATTTTTATGGTTTCATGCCTTACATTTAACTCTTATGCATCTTTGGATTATTCTTGTGTATGGTGAATATTGGTAGTTTAGTTTCATATTTTTGCGTTTGTCTGTCCAGTTTTCCCAGCACTATTTGGTGAAGAGACAATCTTTACTTCATCTTATATTCTTGCTTCCTTTATCAAATAATAATTGACCTAATGCTGTGGGTGGATTTCTGGGTTCTCTCTTCTGATCTATTGGTTTGTAAGACTGTTGTTGTATTTATACCAAGCTGTTTTTATTTTAATGGCTTTGTAGAATAGTTTTATATTTGGTATTATGATCCTATCAGCTTTGTTCTTTCTCCAGATTGCTGAGGTTATTCAGGGTCATTAATGGTTTCATGTAAGCTTATAGCTTTGTAGTATAGTTTGATATTTGATATTGTGATCCTGCCAACTTTGTTCTTCTTTCTTAAGACTGCTGCAGCTTTTCAGGCACTTTTATGGTTCCATATAAATGTTTGGAGTATTTGTTCTAGTACTGTGAATTATCCAGTTGGTATTTTAATAGGGATTACATTTAATCTTTAGATTGCTTTCAGTAGTATGGACATTTTAATTATATTAATTCTTCCAATCCATGAACATGGTATATGTTTCCATTTGTTTGTATCTTCCTCTATTTCTTTTTAAAATGTCCTATATTTTTCTAAGTACAGGTCTTTTACCTCCCTGGTTAAGTTTATTTCTAGATAATTTTTTTGTTGTTGTTGCAATGGTAAATGGGATTGTTTATTTAGTTTATTTTTCTGAGATTTCATAATTGGTTTACAAAAATGCCACTGATTTTTTGGATATTGATTTTTGTATCCTAATTCCTTGCTGAATTCATTTATTAAGTCTAGTGGTTTCCTTGATTGGGGTTTTCTATGTACAATATCATATCATATGTGAATAATGCCAGTTTTACTTCCTCCTTTCCAATTTAAATGCCTTTTATATCTTCTTGTCTGATTGCTATGACTAGGACTTCCAGTACTATGGTGAATAAGACTAGTGAAAGTTGACATTCTTGTCCTGTTCCTGTTCTTAAGGGAAACATGTTATGCCAATTGAGTATTATGTTTGCTGTAAGATTGTCTGTTATGATAGCCTTTATTATGTTGAGGAATGTTTCCTTTATTCTGAAAATGATAATTGGTTGTCAGAAATAGAAGTTTATCTTAATCTCACACAAAATCTGGGTTTGTATTTCAGGATTAATATGATAATTCCAAAACTATCAGAAAACTAGGATCCTTCTATATCGTTGCATTAATATCTTTAAAAATGCAAGTTTCACCTTTTGATCTAAGATGTCTGTTTCAGTTTCCAACATTTTGATCCCATTTCAGCTAGCAAGAAGAAGTAAAAGTGAAAGGACACCGGAAATGTTTGTATATAAGCAGAAAACCCTAGGTATGGCACACCCCACTTTTCTCTTTCACCATAAGCCAATACTTAGCCATATGGCCACAGCTTGCTGCAAGCAAGGCTTGAAATTGTAATCTTCAACTGAGAAGTATGATCTTAAGAAATACTAACAATTTTGTTAATATATATGAAGTAGCTATTTTTATGGGAGAAAACTGTAAATTATTGTCAAAGGTAGGATGTCATAATAACATGCCAACTTCCCTTCTTTACCAATGCCCTTCAGTGTCCATAAAGAAAAATTAACTCTTCCTTACCCTCCTCAACTGTGCTTTTAACTCTTCTGATACACATTAGTGTCACCTGCAGAATCAATTCCAGATCAACTGCTAAGACTAATCTTAATTCAGGCTGAAGAGAGGTGGACAATTTTTATCTTTATTTTTGCCTATTTATCAAACTACTAGAAGCCTGGTGCATGAAATTCTGTATGGGAGAGGGCTCCCCTCACCCAGCCTGCACCTTCTCCAATCCAGGCCCTTTGGGGGATGTCCGATCCCTGGGATCAGGCCTACAACAGCAGTTGGACATTCGTCTCACAATCTGGGAATGCTGGCACCTAACTGCTCACCTGCCTACCTGCCTGATTGCCCCTAATTGCCACCCTAACAGCTTGATCACCCTTAACTGCCTGCCCTTCCGGCCTGGTTGCCCCCTACTATCCTCCCCACCCACCAGCCTGGTTCACCACAACTGCCCCCCACGGGCCTGGTTCCCCCCAAGTGCCTACCTGCCAGCCTGCTTGCCCCTTACTGCTCCCCCCCACCCCACTGGCCTGGTTGCTCACAACTGCCACTCCCATCAGCCTGGTCACCCATAACTGCACCCATCTGCCAGCCTGGTCACCCCTAACTGCCCCTCTGCTGGCCTGGTCACCCCCAACTACCCCCACTCTTGGCCTGGTCACCCCCAACGGCTCCCTGCCTGCCTAGTTGCCCCCAACTGCCCTCCATAACTGCAGACCTGTTTGCCCCATGCAACCTGCTGTTCAGTCATTTGGTCGTCCCTCACTAAGCCTCCTTTCAGCCTGGTCACCCCACACAGCTTACTGTTCTGTCATCTGTCTGGTTGTTTAAGTCATGACGGCCTCTGATTATTTATATATTAGGATTTTGTTTTGTGGTGTAGCTCAATATTATGTATTTAGCTTTACCTAGTATTACTGAAGCTATTAAGTCTAAATATCTTTCTGTTTCTTCTTTTTCCTGGCTGGGCTTCAGCCCTTTATCCTAGCTTGAAAATGGGAAGTTATTGTTTAATGGATACAGAGTTTTAGGTTTGCAAAATGAAAAGACAAGATGAATGGTGGTAATGGAAGTGCAGCATTTATTGTACCACATTGTAAATTAAAAAGGTTAATATACTAAGTGTTATGTTATGCATATTTTACCACAATTTTTAAGTGATGCAAAAATTAAGACATTCTCAGATAAAATTTGAAAGTATATTTACCAAGCAACCACTTAAAAAAATGTTGAAGGCAGGGTTACAAGGTGAAATGAAATAGTAACTGCACAAAAAAACTAAAATGTCCAATAAAGATAACTACATAGGTAAAATACAAAAGCCACTATTATTGTATTTTTGGTTTATAACTTCACTTCTCATTTCTTACACATAATATAAAAGTTAAATACAGAAATTTGAAAAAATCTATGTTATTGGACATACAACATATAAATACACAATTTGGGACAACAAGAAAAACATACTAGGGATCAGAGATGACTAAAATTTCTCTATGTTATTGAAGCAATGTTGATATCAATTTAATATAGATAGTTATAAACTTAGGATATTAATTGTAAATGTCGGGTATTCACAAGGAAAATATCTAAAAATATATGCTCAAGATTGGGAAGATGACTGCTGACAAGAAGGCAGACTGCAAGATACTGCATGAGTGAGAGAATGAAAGGATAGTGTGTGGTCACATGGGGAGTGGTTATACTCCAAGAGTCTGTTGAAGATTGTCAGATGGGTTTCCCTGACAAGGAAGCCTCCAGTGCTGCTGAAATTTCTCCTGGAGCAACCGCTCTGACCCATAGACCATGCCATCTTGGAGGGGAGAGTGGCTGTTATCAGAACTCTAAAAATTCCAGGAATCCAACACCACCCAGGGAACAGCTGCAAAGCCAGGAACACTGGACCCCAAGGAAAGCAAATATGGGACTTGGAGGAGCTCAGCACCTTCTCACGAAAAGGTCAGATTTAACTGAGGAAAAGGTAAGGTCTGTGATCCAGGCAGGAGAGAGAAGTGTACACAACAGGAGCTAGAGGATCCAGGGAAGTCTGCAACCCCCCCCAAAAAAAATCCACAGCCATTGGGGCTAGTGTGATCTAAGAATGTGGAAGGGGATCCACAGGGCTGCTAACAGAAGGGAACTCTAAAAAGCAACCCATAGCTGAACTGAGCACAAAAGCGTAGCCTAAAATTTTATCAGCATGTTGGATGCTTAGAGCCAGGGACGGGGGGAGGGGGAAGACTGCACAGATTTGTGCCCAGCGCCAGAGGGAAAAAATCGTGCACTTATCTGGCTCTTTTTTATTTTTATTTTTTTCTCTATAAATCCTCGCTTTTGATTAATAAGAATAGAACATAGGATCACCCAATTGGGGACACTTTAAGAGAATTCAGGGGAAAATTGTTTTTGTGGAACCTGGGGATCTGAAAGGGAATAACAATCAGAGAACCAGCTCTGGGGCAGCCCATTCCCCCAAACCAGTATTAAGTGCAACAGGGAAAACAAAATCTAAGCACTAGCTAGAAAGGCCTTATCAACCCAGAGGTCAACTCAGAAACACTGCCACCCAGGGTTTGAAGCACAAATTGACTCTTGTGTAAACACAAATAAAGGAGTATAAGAAATAAAGTACTGCCTCCTTGAAAATCAGGACTGTGGCTTACAACACTAAGTAACAGTGAAATACAGGGAACCTCAATACTGTCCTGACTAGAAACTAGGCGTGCCAAGAACAGTAGAGGAAGTGAATTACCTTCACTACTGCACATCTTTATTTTTTTCATCTTTTACTTAAGAAACTATTTTTTCTTTTTTCCTCACTTGATTGTACCTTTTTAATTATTACATTTTTATTTTTAATCAGTATCATGACTGCTATTATTTTACCTTTTTTTAAGTGTCAGTTTATTTTCCCTTTATTTTGCTTTGGAATTATTGTTCTACATTCTATTTTCATCTTTCCTGTAGCATCATTTTACTCTATCTCAACTTTACATTTAAACCAACACTCTCTTCCTCACTTTTCCCCTTTTGTTGTCCTATTTTTCTTACCTATTCCTATTTTAGATTTTCCTTATTCCTTCTTTTTGCCACATGTTAAAAATTAATCCTACCTATATATCTAATTTTCAATCCCCTGCTCTAAGTCCATACACACTTCTCTCCTCTCTTTCTTTACTATCCAATTATTTTTTCTTATCCTTTTGTTGTTGTTTGCTTGATTGTTGATTATATTGTTCTTTTTATGCTTGTTTGGGAGATTAGTTTTGCTTTTGCTTTTTGTTTATTTTTTTGTTGTTTTTTGCTTCTGTTTTTCCTCATACTGCCTAATGTTAGTTGTTGTTTGCAGTTTACACTCATCTCTAGGTATTTATTGCTTACATATGTTGAAATTAAGGGCTGTATTATTGGATTTTTCTCCCTATATAAATAGATTTTTCTCCTCTTCTTTTCTAATTTCTTTCTTTTCTCTCTTACATTTTTCCTACTTTCAATTTCATTTTTGCACTCATATTTTTTTTTCTTATCCCCTAATTCACTTTTCTTTGTTAGTCACCTTTATTCGTGATTATTAGTAACATGAATATATTTGTGTTTAGTGCCTTGTTTACTGTGACTAGTTGTCTTGTATTTTTGCCTTTAAACCAATGCAGGAGAGAGATAACTACATAACCAAACACCTGGAAAAAAGAGATCATGGGGAGAAAAAGAAACAGCTCGCATATGAAAGAAAAGCAGGTATCACCAGAAAAGGGAGTAAATGAAAGAGAGGCAAGCAACCAGTCAAAAAAGAATTCAGAGAAATGGTCATAAGTGGCTGCAAAGAAAGGAATACAAATTCAACAATATGTGTAAGAACCAAGAAAAAATGAAAACCGTCATTTCTGCAATAAAGAACTCAATAGAAAACATCAAGAGTAGACTAGAAGAAGCAGAGGACAACATCAGTGAGCTAGAATACAGAGTAGGAAAAATATACCCAAGCAGAGAAGCATCTAGAAAAAAAAATTAAAAAGCAGGAGAAGAACCTAAGGGAACTTTGGGACAACACAAAACAAAACAGCATCCTCATAATAAGAGTACCATAAGGAGAGAAAGCTGAGTAAGAAATAGAAAAACTGTTGGGAGAAAAAATGAAAGAAAACTTTCCTGATATAGGGAAGAAAAAATCCACACAAATCCCAGAAGCTCACAGAGTCCCAAACAAAATGAACCTGCAAAGATCGATGCCAAGGCACATTATAATTAAATTGGCTAACACCAATGACAAAGTATGAATCTTAAAGTGACCAGAGAGAGACAGAAAGTTGCCTAAAAAAGATCCCCCATCAGCCTGGCAACTGATTTCTCAAGAGAAGCACATCAGGCCAGAAGAGAATGGAATAGAATATACAAAGTCATGCAAAGGAAGGGATTGAACCCAAGAATACTGTCCCCAGCAAGGCTATCAATCAAATCTGAGGGGGAAATCAAGAGATTCACAGACAAAAAGAAGGACTAAGGGAATTTATCACTACCAAGCCAGCAATGCAAGAAATGCTAATGAGTCTGCTATAAAAAGAAGAAATAGGAAATAAAGAAGAAACACAGGGGTAAAGAATAAACATGGTAACAAACAAGTACCTATTAATAATAACTTTAAATGAAAATGGATTAAATACCATAGGGTAACTGAGTGAATAAGAAAACATGACCCATATGTCTGTTGTCTACAGGAGACCCCACCTCAGAAAAATAAATGCAGACTGATGGTGGTGAAGGGATGGAAAAAGATTTTCCAAGTGAATGAAAATGAGAAAAAAAAAAATGGGGTAACAATACTTATATCTGACAAATTAGATTTCAAAGTGAAGGACATGACAAGAGATAAGAAAGGCCACTTCATAATACTTAGGGAAGCAATTCAACAATAAGAAATAATAATAGAAAACATATACACACTTAAGACAGGAGAACACAAATAAATTAAAAAAAAAAAAAAAACGCTCCTGGAGGATATCAAGGGAGAGATTAAAAGTAATATAAACACAGTAGGAGACTTTAATACTCCACTATCACCATTGGACAAATACTCTAAACAAAAAAAATCAGCAATGAAACATCAATCTTAAATGACTGACTAGATCAGATGGATTTAATTGACATCTTCAGAACATGTCATCCCAAAGCCACAGAATATACATTCTTCTCAAGTACACATGGGTCATTTTCAAGATAAACCATATATTGAATGACATGTAAAGTCTCTACAAATTCAAGAAGATATAAATCATATGAAGCATCTTCTCAGATCAAAATTGCATAAAAATTTAAATCAACTATAGTAAATACAATCCAAAAAAAATTAAAAACATGGAAACTAAAAGCATGCTATTAAACAATGACTGGGTTAACATAGAGATCAAAGAAGAAGAAAAAAACATATCATTGCAACAAAAGATAATTAAAACACAACAATTCAAAGTATATGGGACACAGTGAAAACAGTCTTAAGAGGAAAGTTCTTAGCTCTACAAGCCTACAGCACAAAAACAAACAAAACAACAACAAAAAACAATGGTAATAAATTACCTAACTCTACAACTCAAAGAGTTAGAAAAATAGCAACAAGAAAAACCCAGTGTAAGCAGAAAGAAGCAAATAATAAAGATCACAGCAGAAATGAATGGCATAGAGAATAAATAAATAAATAAATAAATAAGATCAACAAAACCAAGAACTGGTTCTTTGAAAGGATAAATAAGATTCATGAACCTCTAGTCAGGCTCACTAAGAGGCAAAAAGAGAGACCCAAATAAGCAAAATCAGAAATAAAAGAGGAGAAATAACAACAGACCACACAGAAATACAAAGGATTGTTACAAAATACTATGAACAACACTATTCCAACAAACTGGACAACCTGGAGGAAATGGACATATTTCTAGAAAAATACAACCTTCCAAAACTCAATCAAGAAGAATCTAAACATCTCCCTAGGCCAATAACTATAAAAGAAATTGAAGCAGTCATCAAAAAGCTTCCAGCAAACAAAAGCCTGGGGCCAAACAGGGGTGTATTACCAAACATTCAAGGAAGAACTATTGATAAAACCTATCCTTCTCAGACTATTCCAAAAAATTCAAGAGGAAGCTCCGTCTATGAAGCTAGCATCCCCCTAATACAAAAACAGAGAAAAAACAACAACAACAACACAATGAAAGAGAACCACAGGCCAATATCCCTCATGAACATAGATGCCAAAATCCTCAACAAAATTCTAGAAAATTAGATCCACCAGTACATCAAAAAGAAGATACACCATGATAATGTAGTATTTATCCCAGGGATGCAAGGATGGTACAATATCTGCAAATCAATAAACATTATACATCGCATAAACAAATTGAGAAATAAAAATCACATAATCATATCAATTGATGTAGAAAAAGTATTTTTACAAAATCTGGGACACATTCTTGATAAAATATCTCAGCAAAGTGGGAACAGAGGATCATAACTCAACATAATAAAAGCCATAGATGACAAACCCACAGCCAAGGTCATACTCAATGGGCAAAAACTAAAACCATTTCCCCTAAGAACAGGAACACAACAGGGATGCCCACTCTCACCACTCTTTTTTGTCTTTGTTATCAGACAAGAAGAAGAAATAAAAGGCATCAAAATTGGAAAGAAGTGAAACTGTCATTCACAGATGATATGATACTGTACATAGAAAATGCTAAAGACTCTATCAAAACATTATTAGACTTAATAAATGATTTTTGCAATGTAGCAGGATAAAAATTAACACCAAGATATGTATGACATTTCTCTACACTAATAGTAAACTTTCAGAAAGAACGACTAAAAAATCAATCCCATTTATCATCATACCAAAATAATAATAATAATAATAATAATAATAATAATAATAATAATATACTTAGGAATAAACTTAACCAAGGATCTAAAAGTACTATATGCAAAAACTACAGGACACTTAAAAAGAGATAGACGAAGACATAAACAGATTGAAGAACATGCCATGTTCATGGGTTGGTAGAATCAACATCATTAAAATGTGCTTTCTACCCAAAGCACTCTATAGATTCAATGCACTCTCCATTAAAATACCAATGGCATATTTCACAGACCTAGAAAGAACTCTCCAAAAATTCATCTGGAATAAATAGAAGGCCCAGGATAGCTGCAGCAATTTTAAGAAAGTAGAACAAGGTAAGTGGGATCTTAATACCAGATTAAAACTGTATTACAAAGCCACTGTTCTCAAAACAGCCTGGTACTGGCACAACAATAGACATATATATCAATGATTAGATAACCCAAAAATCCACCTAAACCACTATGTTAAATTAATATTTGACAAAGGAGGCATAAACATACAATGAAGTCAAGATAGTCTCTTCAATAAATGGTGTTGGTAAAATTGGATAGATAAATAAAAAATAAAAAAAATAAAAAAAACTAAAAAAAACTCACGAAACTAGACCACCAACTTACACCATACAAAAAAATAAACTCAAAATGGTTAAAGGATTTAAACACAAGATGGGAAACCATAAAAATACTAGAGGATTCCACAGGCAGCAAAATCTCAGACATGAGCTGAAGAAATTTCTTCACTAATACTCCTCACAGGGCCATGGAAACTAAAGAAAAATAAACAAATGGGACTACAATAAAATAAAATGCTTTTGCACATTAAAGAAAACCATCAACAAAACAATAAGAAAGCACACTGTATGGGAGAACGTATTTGCCAACGTTGTTACGGATAAGGGTTTTAATCTGCAACATTTACAGGGAACTCATACAACATAACAAAAGGAAGATAATCCATTCAAAAAATGGGCAATGAACCTACATCGATACCTTTTTAAAGAATACATAAGGAAATCCAACAGACATATGAAAACATGCTCAAAGTCACTAATTATCTGAGAGATGAAAATGAAAATGACAATGTCGTACCATCTCACTCCTGTCAGAATGGCTATCATTAACAAATCAACAAAGGACAAGTGTTGGTTAGGATGAGGATAAAAAGGAACCCTCAGGCATTTCTGGGAATAAGAACTGGTGCAGCCACTGTGGAGAACAGTATTGAGTTTTCTAAAAAAAAAATTATTTGACCAGTAATACCACTTCTCAGAGTCTATCCCAAGAAAACAGAAACACTAATCAGAAAGGATATATGTTCTTAGCAGCACAATTCACCATAGCTAAGATTTGGAAACAGTCTAAGTGCCCATCAGCAGATGAGATGATTAAAAATTAGGTACTTTTACACAATGGAATATTATGCTGCCATACAAAAGAAAGAATTGTTACCGTTTCAACAGCATGAATGGAACTGGAGAGCATTATGCTAAGTGAAAAAAGCCCCTATCAGAGAACAATGAATATCACATGATCTCACTTACTTATTTAATATAATGAACAACATAAAATGATGAACAAAAATGGATCCAGAGACAGGGAAGCATTAATCCGACCGCCAAACCTCAGAGGGAAGGTGGGGAAGGGGATTAAGGGCCATAGATCAATCAAAGGACTTTTATGCATGAATATAAACCTAACCAATGGACACAGGGAACAGGTGGGTGAGGGCATGAGTAGAGTTTTGGGAGGAATAATGTAATATGAGGACATGTATGTAATACCTTAATCAATAAAGAAATTAAAAAAGAAGAAATATT